CTTTTTTGTGATGTAAGGTCAAACAAAACTGATTGGGCAAGATTTTCATGTCTGCATAACCATTGTGGAGGGTAGTTGGTCAAGTTGGGGATCTTTCCAGATTTGGTAATATCAACATAGAAGACAAAAGAGTCAGCATATTCAGGAACAGAGAAGCTAACAGAGAATGTGAGTTTGGACCAGTCTTTCATAGTGATGTTTAGAAATTTTTTGGTGTGTTCTACACTAGGATCTAGCGGTGAGCTAATAGTAGGGGTGTCTTTAGGTAGAGCGGCCTTGGTGTTCTGAAAAAAAATATTCCAGTAGGAGGAAGAGCTTTCTGAGTTCATGTTTTTATAGGAGTCTTGGGGCTTAATATGATATGAAACTTGTAATTGCTTACTGTTTTTGCTTAGAGTACTATCTGTAAAATCTTTTGGATTATGTGAAAGTTGAGAGTCCTTAAGACCACTTTCGTGGAAGGATTGAAAAACTGCTTTGTTGCTTTTTTGGGTGTTTATTGCTACTAACTTGTTGTAGTAGGGTTTTTTAACAAAATTTGCACCTCCTTTAAGTAGTTTGCAGGGTGCTGGATAACTTTACTTAAGAGCCAGATATCAATTTACTTAGTAAGTTTTCGAGAAAATATCACAGGAAAATTTTTTCTTCTTGGTTCTAATTTGGTAAAGTGATCTATAGAAAGAGTTCTATTTTTTATATTTAATTTTGTAGATTGTTATTTTGTAAAAAAACAATTTTTTATTATTTTTTTTAGATTAAAGAAATCTTATAGAAAAATTAAGAAAAATGTTACTATTTATTGTATTTATATTCAAAATTTGATGCTGAACAAGTTTATTTAAAAACTTTAAAAGGTTAGCATAATACAATTTAATGATATTTGCATTTTTTCACTTTTTTGCATATTTTTTATATTTTCTCTAGATTTTATTATATCAATATCTTTTTGTTTCTAATTAAACTTTGTTTAGCATCAAATTATGTATATAATTGCAAAAAAATTTTAACTATTTTCTTAATTTTTTATAAGTTATTTTAATCTAAAAAAAACTAATCAAAATTTGTTTATTTTTTTATAAATAATAATCTGCAAAATTAGCCAATCATATTAAGGTGTGATATATAGCTTTAACACAGGGGTGCGAAGCATATTAAACTTCTAAAAATAAAACTATTTAAAATTTAGTATATTTTTTTCTGTGCATTATTGTATGAATTTTCAGCTAGTAAATATAACAAAAAAAAAAGTTAATATGTATATATATTTGTTATTCTAAAAAAAGTTAAATAATTAGTTTGGGCTTCACAATGAAATAAGTAACAACAATTACTTATTGTGATTTAGTTGAATTGATAATTTGTATAATGTTTTTTGAGTTCTATAAGCCTGTGAATACAAGAAAAATAACTACTTTATATTCATTATATTTTTTTAATTTATTAATTAATAAAAAAAAATATAAGAATTCTAAAATAAGTTTTACAAAATATAACAAAGTTGAAGTACTACTCTTATTGTAATTGAAGGACCCATAAGCTTAAAAATTATGCAGATTGTTTTTTTTTTTATATTGTCGATGGGTCTGGTCATGACTAATCTTATTTATTAATATTTATAATAATATAAATATATAAAAATGTAAAAATAAAAGTCTGGCACTACACAGTTCTATATTGTGTGCGAAAACCTAGCTCAGGCCTAAGTTGCAACTCCATACTACCTGATCACAAATGACGAATTATCCAAAAAAAAATTCTATAAAAAATAAAAATGAACTATGACTAAAAAGGGTAAATAAACAAAAAAGGGAAAAGGGAAAGAGTGAAAAAAATAAAAACAGGAAAAAAATAAAAAAATTTTTATAGAACAAGGATAAAAAGTTGAGAGGGATTGCACCTCTCTTTGTAACAAGAGTACACTATTATAACCTGGCAAGGCTGAAAAAATTATATAACAAATGCAACAATTGTATATCTCTAGTGTAAAGCTTTGCCTTAAAATTAAAAGTTCTTCTGACTTATGACTGCTTTTGAATATCTCTTTAACAGGAGGCTCTGATCTAACTTTCCTGGAGTAGCACCGTATTTGTAAACAGACACATCACATGGTTGCATTCTACTGGGTCCATCTAAATTTGGAAAGTAAACAATGCTGATCTTTTGGAGAGAGTAAGCCAAATCCCACTTTTTGTAAAAAATTTTGGAAGACCGACGAGAGAGCAAAAAAAAAAAGGAAGAGTCACCAAACTAAAAGAAAGAGTGTAGCTTTAGAAAAAAAAAAGTTTTTTTGTTTCCCCTGTGTCTTTCTTTGAAGTAATGACCTAGAAATTTCATTGACAAAATTAAGCTTTTTGTTCACACTCCATCAAGATTTTATATACAAGGGCATTTCTTGCTAGTTATCTTGTATAGTAACACTCTTGGCTTGCATGCCAAATATCTCTTTAGAGAAGTCCTGAAAAGCAAATAACGTTGACCTCTAGACAATCTACAATGTAGGCCACAACTCTCCAACAAAAAATTTGTTTTTCTATTAGTGGGAAAATTTGGTTTTAGTGATCGTCAGAAAGAGTTTTCAATTAAAATTGATTATGCATATTTTTGATTTAATTAAACTAAAAAGAGTAATAATCAAATTTAATAAATTTTTTATTTAAATTTTATATATTTATAAAACTCAAAGAAAAAATTTTTATTTAATTTGGTCTAGTTGTTATAAAAACATTTTTTTTTAAATTATTTTAAAATATTGATAAGAGTTAGTTTGTACTATTATGAGGCTTTAGGTACAATTTCTTAAATTGAAAAATCAATATTTAATCAATTTGATATAATTTTTGATGCTAAGTCTAAGATTAAAAACTTGCATATTAAAATATCAGAAATATTGTTAACTTGAAGAGTTAATTTAATTGGCCAATTAATGTAGATTACCTCTTGAATTAATATGCAAAAATTTATATTTAGAATTAAAGAAAAATATAAGTAAAAAAAACTTTGAACTAGAATTATACTAATTATAATATAATAATCTCAACAAAAATTACTGCTACAGATAGAGCATCTACTCAAGAATATAATCCAATAAATTATCAAGATTTGATTAAAAAGTCCCAAAGCCTCATAACTATACAAACTGATCTATATAGCTTTAATTTTGATAAATTTTTTAAATTTTTTTCTAAATTTAAGCAATAATATCTTTACAACTATTTAATAAAATTCAATAAATTTTTTTATTTAAAAATTATTATTTTAAAGATGATTTTAATGCTCACCGGAGGTAAAATTCACTGGGGATGCTATATCTCAAAAATGTACTAAGTAAATGGGATCAGATACTCTAAGTAAAAATGTTCAGAACCTCTAAAAACTTTATGAAAACTGAAATCAGTACCTTTTATTAGCTCTATGTTATTTTATATAAAAAAAAATTCTTAATACCTAACCCTAACCTTAACCTAACCCTAACAATTCTTAGGCTGGTGAATTTCACCTCTGGTGAATTTTAAATAAATTCTTATTTTAATTAGTTAATTCAAATATTTCAATTTAATTTTAAAATTTTTTATTTTTTTGTTTTAATAAAAAAAATATTTTTTTTAATTATCCCTTAACTATCCAGTTTTAGCAAATAAATTTGTCTATGAAATTTTTATAAATTTATGTTTAATTTTTATTAAAAATAAGAATATTTAATTGATAATCTGCAAGTCACCTGGAGAAAATAATCAACAATCATTAAGTAACTATGACACATTTTAAATAATAAAATATCTAATATGGAAATATAAAAATTTTCATATGTATAATGTATATATATCAGATATATATTTATATATATATACTGTATATATGTATATATTAACTTTTATTATACAAATTTAAGAAACCCGTACAATGTGCAAAATAAAACCTACTCATGTTTCAGAGCTTATAGAATTCAGAAACTACTTGTAATTCAAAACTACGATTTGATTCTTCTTCAACTACTTGCTAATTTAAAACTAACTGCTTTCTAATTAAGAATTATTACCATTTAGTTTAAATACCCACCTGCTAGCTTTGAACCTCCACTGGTTTAAAATCTGCTAATTTAGAACTACCCACTAGTTTGAAATCCATAGATCTAAAAATTTAGAAGTTCACCAACCCACTAGTTTAAAAACCCACCATATGCTAGTTTAGAAACCCACCTGCTAGTTTAGAGACTTACCCACTTGCTAGTTTAGAAACTTACCTACTAACTAGTTCAAAAACCCACCCACCTACTAGTTTAGAAACCTGCCCACTAGTTTAGAAATCCACTCACTAGTTTAGAAACGCATCTACTAGTTTAAAACCTATAACAAATGTATATGTAATCGAAAATAATCTAAAGGATTTAAAACAAATAAAAATATAAATTTGGGTTATAGAAATAAGTATTTGGCAATGGTAATATTAAATTTCAATAATAAAAATCTATGATCAAAAAAATAAAAATTAAAAAAAAATAGAATTTAATAAATAAAGTAAAAAGAAAAAAATAAATAAATAAAAAAAATTAAAAACCAAAATCTGCTGACAAAGCATTTAGTTAGCATTTAGTGCCAGAAATCTGTTGATCTGGTCAAAAAAAATAATCTTGAATCTATAGTTGCTATTACAACTATTAGTCAAATTGACCTAAATTACAATTCATATAGTAAGTTTGGGACAAGCTTCCTAGCTTTAACTAGTCCCAAATAATAGTTAATATTCTAAAAAGTTTCAAAGCCCAAACTAGTTAGTTTTAAATTAGTGATGCAAATCAAACTATTTAGAACATTCCAAATTGCATAATGAATAGTATCAAACAGTTTTAGCAATAGTAATAACATGATAAATATTTAATGTAATACTAGTTGTCACATAATTTGAGACATCCCAAATAGTTTGGTTTATATCCCTAGTTTGGATACAACTATACTTGATTAAGTACTTCTAAATAGCATTTGAAATTTACTGAAATTAGAAGAATCTTGTAAATAACAATAAAAGAGTAAGTTAGAAATATTGTTATAGAATGAGATTTATATTTTATCTCTATTAGATTCAGAAGCTTGTTGTAATTCTAACAAGCTATAATATATAAGAAACATATTATTGGTTAATAGAATATTACTAAAACAATTCTAATGTAACATACTTTTTATACCTTTTATACCTTTTGTACCTTTCATACCTTTTGTATCTTTTATACCTTTTATACCTTTTATACTTTTTATATCTTTTGTACCTTTTGTACCTTTTATACCTTTTATATGTTTAGTACTTTTTATACCTTTTATATATATTGTAAAAGCTATATAAACTCTAGCTTTTACCTTTCTTGTACAAGAGGATTTGTTCTCTGCAATGTTTTAAATATTAGGATTCTATAGGAATAGATACCTGTAGATAGCTTTGTATCTAAACATTGTATTATAAATAAATAAACATATCTTTGTCCTAAAGCAAACCATGTCTTTATACTTTCAATGAATATACCGAACTGCCCTAGTGAGGAAACATTCCACTTCCACACCACTTTATATCTCGCCCTGTTGTTTTAGAGATCCCTGTCTCTGTGTGCTATGTTGCAGATAGTAAATTAAGAAGGCTATCCCACTTGTAACAATATGAAAGTAAAATACATGAAATTCTATATATATGCTCTTCTACTTCATCTATCCATCTAAGAACAAATATAACTAATAAACATTTCATCAAATTAGCAGATTTTGGTAATTAATAAATGCTTTGTATTCATTTTTCTAGGCCAATTCTATTTCACAACAATGTCCAAGAATATATACTCTATCTACACGGCTAACTTTAGTGGATTATGATAAATAGATGCATTCATAATGATGCCTAATTATTATATATTCTATTAGCATAATGCATTTTTGCTGATTTTGGAGATATGAGGTCTTTGTATTAAAAATGACTTTATAGAACTATATTTTATAAGGTCATTTTCAAAACAAACTCCATATTTCTTTTTTTTAGCATAACCATGTCTTTTTGGTTGGGGTATATATCAATAATTGAGCAACACAGGATTTCTTTTTTCTCTTGATTTAAATTTTTTTTGTTAAAATACTTAGTTAATTTATAACTTAGCTTATTTTAAATACTTAGATATTATTTTTACTTTTCAAAATCGCTAATCGACGCTCCATGAATCCAAGAAACTGACCAACCTTCACTTCAGTGTTCAGGTTTGTCACCTTTCTTTTCTTGCTCTATTTTGTTAATTCAGACTTTCATTATATATAAGAGTGTAGCATAGATCTTACAGCTATAATCTACAATACTATTACTTCTCTTATCCAATTTTCAAGTCATTCAAGATCTCGATTATCTTTTCCACTAATAACATTAAGGTGTTCTAACCTCTTATTTTTTCTACTTTTCACTTATAGCTTCAGGTATATACTTTCTTTTGTTTACCTATTTTTTAAAATATCTAGATTTATTTATATATTATGCAATACTTCAAATTATGATTTATAGCAATTTCTAAAGAAAAAATCACCTTGAACTTCTATACAGTAGAGGGTTAGGGTCCTATAGCCTAGTGGTCTAGGCACCTAACTCTCCAAAGACGAGGTTGACAGTTCAATTATAGCTGGTAGTAATTAATTTAATTAGTTATCTCTGTGATCTTTGGGAGCTTTCGAATATAAATCTCTGTGGCGGTAAGACCATGTAATGTATATATTTGGTCTATAAAGAATTCTTGGAAGAAGCCCCGAGCTATAGAGAAGACTGGGCACTGCATGTAACATGGGTCACAGAAGGTTTACTGCAAAAGGCTGTGTGTTTGAATCCACAATTGGCAAGGTAGCACCAACAACTCTAAGGTGGTATTGGGATCTTAATTGGAAGAATAGCTGTATGTAGTATTTCCAGAAGTGATGAGAGAAGCAGTGAATATAGTGAGGGGCTGTGGTAAAAAGATGGCTTTACCAAATATAGAACACCTCTGGCACAAAGAAACAAGAAAAACTGGCTAAAAGAAACTCTGAAAAGCATGGAAGCAAGTAATCTAGTAGTACAAAAATAAAAACAAACTAGGAAGTAATAGTCACACAACTTATATAGAAGTCTATAACAAAATATAGCAGAAGTGCGGGTTCTGGGTCACTGGCTTATGACAGTGATTAAATGAGATACATAACTCCTGTTCTAAGGATCTAGACTTCTGTAACACCATACCTATAGGGAGTACTATAAAAGGATCGGTAGCCTAATTTGGTGGTGTACAACATGAATACCTAGATTGACGTGAAATATCATCCTAGTTTGGCAACTTAACTGTTTGAGATATGGCTAGGCTCATAAAGTAACTCCTCTAAGGACACCAAGCTGAAAGCACGAAAAGCACCTACTCGAATGATACCAATTTGGAAGTAATACAAGTACTGAATTAGAAGTAATGTGATAAGTGATGAGGGATGGAAGTTGGTTGGTAGACATTGTACAGTAGTATATAAGCGAGATATATATAATAAAAATTAGGTTTGGGAACCATCCGGTGATTTAGTAACTGGTCTAGTTGCAGAGTGGTTATTAAAGAGATAAAATCTTATATAGCAGGTTGCACATAGGTATTAACTTAGTAACTAGGTGAGCTAATATCTCGTAAAACATTAGAGAGTTGTAATTGTATATGTGATATTTGTAACCAAATACCTTAGCATACTAATAAACGGTATTGGCAAAACTGCCGAATTAAAAAAAAACAAACTTCTACACAGTATAAATCTAACGAATTCCAACAAGTAAGAATAATTATTAATAAATTTGGCTAAGATTACTAATGACCTGTTTATTAGCTCAGGTTTTGACAGAATTGAAATAAAAAAAATAATAGCTTACTTTTTTTGTAAAATTACTATTGTCTTCAATACAAATTTTAAATATATAATAGGTAGATCTTGACTTGGCTGATTTCTAGTAATGTCTAACTCTTAAAAGCTCAAAATCAAAAAATATTTATGTAAAATAAAGTAAAAAGTAGTGAAAATGCAATAAAAAGGCATTTATAAATATTTACTTATCTAATTAGGGCACTGACATTAATTACGTAATTTTTTAGAAGGTGGGGGTTGAGCACGTACTATATTAATATATTATGTTATACAAAGAAAATTAGTTAGACCAAATTTTTTTTAAATTGGCCAATTATATTGAAGCTTATGTGGGGAGGAGGGGGGGAGCCATCATAGTAAATGAAAATTATGTAATTAATGTCAGCGCCCTTATCTTTATATGTGTATTATAGAAAATGCCACATTTATCCAAAGTAAAGTTTTTAACAAAAAACCTTTGTACTTAGTAATTTTAATGATAAAATCATGTGGTATTATTTTATCATTTGTGTTACTTTTATATAATGTTAATACAAAATTTATTAACTTCACATATAACCTTAAAACTTCAATTTGAGCTCTGTATATATATAATCTGAGTTAGAAATTTTTTCAGTTAACTAGTAGATTATTAATTAAAGAAATTTTTTTTAAATAATAACTATAATTATATATTATCTAAAAGTTATTTTTACCTCTTTAATATTTATAAAAAATTTGAATTTACTTTAAAAGAAAACTTCATAATTTTTTAAAAAAAATTTAATTTTAAAAAAATTTTTTTATTTTTTTAATATTTAGATGAGAATTTGCTCATATTTTTATTGAATAATTTATTATTTTTTTTTTTAGTTTTAAAAGGTGAGGCCTTGCTTATATCTTTATTGAGTAATTTATATAAGTAATCATAAAGAAACAAGACTGAATGAAGACTTAATTAATATATAAATTAATAAATATAAATTACATGCAAGAATAGAAGCTCAGACTAATTTATCTGTGATCTAAACCTACTAGAGTGGTCAAAGCTTACCTAGATTTAAATGATTAATATATAATTAATAGGAATACTGAACTGGATCCACAAAGTAAACCAGATATTGAATTCGAGTTTAGCGAGCCCAGCTGGAGGGCAAGAGAAGAAATCAGAATGTAGTTGATTAGGTAAGTTGTATAGACAATTATATGTAAAAGTGTTGTAAGTTCTAGTATAAAGATGATTAGGAGATCGTTGACTAGCTT